ATATAATGCAGTCTGTGCCAAGCCCTTAAGTAATAAAATGATCTCCATAAGTCATTTTCTTGAATAAACAAGTAATGAAAACTGGAAGTCAGAAGAAAGAGGAAGCCACGTTAGACAACTTACTGGCTAGCTAGGACTTACCATTGACATATAACACAACTGTTGGCAAACGCAGCAGCATTTCTCCTCACTACTCAGGGAGGACGTCTTACCCCGTCTGTCTCGGCTTCTGGAAGGACTCTCAGGCTCGGCAAAGCGGATGGAAGAAATCAAGCCAAACTCGGTCAGGCGTCGGCGATTCTCTAGCTCCTGATCCCTAGGGGTTTAGAATGGAAAAGGAGGCACGGACATACGGATAAGGAGTCTGGGCACAATACCAACATGTCTACAAGGTCTGAAAGATAGCTTGACATTGTTTATCACAAACTCTGAAAGGGAACATGAAAAGGCTTCCAAGGAAAGCCAGCAAAGGTCTCTTTGAATCAGACTAATCTGTCGTTAAATACTTGCTTAGTCAAAACTCTATTAACCCCCCTTCTGCTGTAACCGCCAAAAACAGTCCAAAATTCCTTCCACTTGATTTGCCCCAGTACAAAGACACATATGGGAAATTTGACTGATTTTGACTGATAGGACAACTGTGTCAAGAATGTGTCTTTGCATAGGAGGGTTCATAGTTTATCTACCCATCAAACCTTTGTGTTTGTTAAACAAGTACATCCATTTTACAAAGACTCGGAACTAGTCTGGCGACGGGTGCTTACCTGAATGCTTTGAGCTCTGGTTGCAATACCTTAAGTAATTTCTTGTTGTTGAGGCTGTTACCAGTCTTAATTCTGAGCAGACTCAGAAGTTGCTCAATGGAGAACTCGCATGCTTGGTGTAACTCGCTGGCAATCTGAAACAATTTGTTCAATAATTGATGGCAATCATTTTTCAACAAGCCCATCGTATCAGGAAAGAGTTCAGATATAATGAAAGATACCAATGAATAAATCAATATTTTCACCATATGGTCCAGCTGAGGTATAAACTTGGCTAGGTCAAGGAATGGCCTCATCAGGAAAACAACCCAATCTGGGTTATGTCCTACTCACAACATAGCTCAATCAAGCATTCCTTCGTTACAGGAACTACCCAATCAAAGAAATGGCCCAATCAGGAAAAGACCACATTGGAGAATGGTTGTAATCACGAAAAGGGTAGCAACTTACCCTGAAAGCTTCAATTCCAGCTTCCACCCAGTTGGGTGTTGCATAGTGGATGGTTTCAGCCACGTTATATCCACATGAGATAGAGGAAGTACAAGCACCAGGTAATGTGACAAGGAACTCCCCACTCCTTTGGTCTAGACGATAGACAGGGATGCCTAGCTCAGCCAGGCTTTCAGGTGGTATCTGAGGAGAGGAACAAAGTCATTCTTAGTCATCAAAGCTTTCCTACATGAAGATGCAGGATAACGATGTCCTCGGTTGATGCAGCTTTAAGGGGAATTTCTAGAGAAAAAACAGCGCCAACCTATCCTGAAGGGGCCCAAACATAAGAATCCACAGGGAACCCACTACTAAATCGGATGCTCTCAATCACGGACTTTCTTATTCTTTTAAGTGAAGGTGACAATATACTGGTGTCCATATATGTAGAGAAAGTCAGTAGGACTGCATGAGAGGTAGATGGTAGGTAGATGTAATTATGTGCTTATTGATTCAATCCCAAAGCCACAAATAACAATACAATGAAACAATATAAATTTGTTTTTGTTTTCTTACCAATATGAACATTCAACAATGTTGGACAAGTGCAGCATGATATGCTAACTTATTGTCGTGACTCAGAGTAACAGACAGATAATAAGCATGATGCCATATTACATAGCTGAGTCAGGAAACAAGACGACACTTCCCTAGCCATCAGTTGATGATGAAGAGGGTTAATTCCATGGTTAACAGACTGACAGATCAGACGGATTGTCTATCATAGGTTGGTTGCAAGCAAGGATCTAAGCTGTAGTACCGTTTCTACATTGGAAATGTACCGCTTTCATAAAGATTTCCTCTGCAATGTGGACTATGCAAGAATCAGGTAATGTTATGTGTTGCTATGGTAACAGATTGGCATCCTTGCAACCTCTCATTTTTGAATATAATGTGCAACAAAAACTCACTGAAGTTTAAATAAAGAGTAATCATACATCAAATATATTGTGAAGAAAGGGCCTTGCTATCTGTTAATGTTGGTTGTTTTCTGATTTCAATGCCTTCACAACAGTGTCCAACATATACTTCTATGGAAACACAACTTTGCACCCCAGGCAGACATTTGCATGGAATCGCCCATGCTCATAGAAACAGCTCTCTTAGCTCTGCATTGGCGCTCACCATGCATAGGAAAGTTTTGTCGTGAAGGCAGTGTGGTGTCTTAGCACAAAGGTGAGGCACTAGTTTCTGCATAGCTTGGACGACCTTCTCTTGATGGACTCTTGGGACACAGTAGCTATGGGAGAAACAAATGTGTGTTAGCACCAAAGCGTCTGACATCCAGGCTAGGCAATGGGATCTGTTGGTAGTAATTGCCACCCTGCCCTTGAAAATCTCATGCAAAGCTTCAAATAATACCAAGTCTGGAGAACAAGATGTTTGTCTTATTTTAAAGATGACATAATTTGTTTGGAGTGCCTTTAAGAAATGCCTCCAAGGGTTTTATTTGCAATTACAAGGCTGTGATTTGATTTTTAAATGAGCATGTGGGTGGTAAAATAGGTGCCTAAAAGGTAAAACTAACATTTCTCCACTGCTGTAGGATGCTGCCAACACGGAGAGGTCAAATAATTTGAACAAAAACGTGTAAACATACCAAGAGTGTCAAGAAGCACATATATAAACCAACAGCGTCATTACCAGGTTGGATATATTGCTACTTTGGACAATAACAACTAACCACTATTACTTCCAAAATATCTTCCTAAATATTTTCTTTCAATGTTTAGCATTGGCTGTGTGCAATAGCTGCAGGCAATGCTACATAGCCTGGTTATGCCATTCAATCATGAACAAGTCACATGCACATTGGTTCACTGAATGATAATGTACAGGATAAATTTCAGCAGAATGCGTACAACCATATGATACACTTTGCACAAGCTGGCATCTTGATATTCTCCATTATCAGCACTTATCATTACAGTGGTGTCTACAAAGGGAGCCCATAGCAACACAGAGCCAAACTCACTGTATCCGAGGAGCTCCCGTATGAAGATACTCAATACTGGGTAGGGCGTGTCTGTCACAGTTCCATGTCTCCGTGCTGTATAGCATGCCAACCTTCATCTCAGGGAGGTTGATACAACACTTCCCCGGGAGAACCTGCAGCAGGTTGCCATGGTTATTGCCCACGTTGTTCAAATTCCAGTTATGTCTGCAGTTGACATGAGATAGAGGCTGCATTACGAGAGTGCTTAATGTGAGCATAATAGAGGGCAGCCATTTTGGCCACAGGGAACCAGGCACACTATATACTTGTGGCATGACACTCCATGGGGAACCAACGCAAAAAATGCTCAGTTTTTATATCTCGGCATTGAAACTGATGGCCATAGTTTGTCCTAACATGAGTGAATACTAAACCGTCTTTGTTGTCTCTGATTTCATTTTGAGGTAGCCCATCCTTTGTGTGTAATGAAACACAAGACGCAACCACAATGTCTAACGCTTCTATTGGTGTTTTTGCTAGAGCAGATCACAAAAATAAACACTGCAAACATGGCACCCAATGAGTCTGTGGACAACCCATGGTCCCCACAATGCATTATGTTGAAGCTGCTGTAACAATTTCAAACATCCAACGAATACAGAGAGAAACATAAAGGAGCAAAGTAACAAACATGAAAATAGGGAAAAACAATGATAAACCGTCAAAAGAAAACAATTCAACTAAACCAAAAATTATGAGCTTAAAATAATCACAATATCCTGTAAAACGAACACTTAAATAAATGCTATTTTAAACAGCTGGCTTTTATCATGTATTGAAATCTAAACAAAATTTTCTGTGCTGAGTAGTAAATGACGTGTTCCCCGTTAAAGGTAAATGCCGTTTAAATGCCCTTTCAACAAATGCAACATGCAGAGATTTGTTTGAACATGCAAGTTAGTAGCAACGTGCAAGAAACTTCCGGGGATGTGCTATGCTGGTGCTGCACTCATTAGCGATTGCAATTATGCATTATGTTAATGAGGCCAAAGGTCAACTCTTCTTGACTGTGAGGAGACAGTTTGTCCAAACTTACTTGGCAAAGGGGTCAGTTTTTCGGTGGGGGAAACCACTAGAGTAAAAAAAGAGTGAGATCACAGCAAACAGTGGTAGAGAGAGGTTGATCAATTACAGGATCACTAACAAAAAAAATGACAGCAGTCGTAGGGAAGGACGTCAATTACGGATCACTCTGGGGCATACTTTACAGCACAAGACTAAAGCCTGGCTATTTTGAGCTTTTCCACTCCAAATGAGATCTGACTTCCTCGACCTGTTCCCTTCCCTCCCTCTTCCTCTCTCTCCAAGTGTCGTGTTAAGTCCCCAAACTCCAACGCAAGTGGAAATGCTAAAAGTAGTCCGTTCTGGGGATATTTTTGGCAGAGCAAGTGAGAAGTTAGTGTTTCTGGCCTGACACACAGGAAGCTTTTATGATTTGGCCACAGGTGAAGGAGCCACAGGAATTCTCCTGTCTTTATCCCAAATTTATTTGAGTAGTTAATAAAAGGGCATATGCGTGACCCATCACCCTCATAAACTTACAAGTATTCCACATTGTAGTAGAATGTCAGTGATTCTCTTTTTCCTTTTGTCTCCCAAGTCCCCAACCCTCTTGGATGAATCACACTGTCAGGACCAGCTCAACAATATGCACAGAAATTATCATCATGCAGATGCCCATTTTATCATGACAAGACCACATTTTGTCTAAACCAATCAGTGAGAGGAAAAGCTCCCAATTACCATGGCAACAAATGAAGACAATCATCGTTAGCATTCAAACCACTCAGCACTGAGACCACATCTCCACAGTTAACACACACTGGCATGCAGAAATAAGGCAGACTGATCCGTCAGATACGTGTCTAGAACACATTTATCACAACAATGTCAGTAGCAATCCGTGTTCTACATCTTCTTGGAGAAAGATCAGCATAGCCTGACTCTGCTGGTAAGTATTAGCAACACACTGATGAAATATCTTGTCAAACTTTGAGGCAACGAATTCTCCAAAACTTCCCTTCTTGTGACTTTCACAATATCTTGGATCAATACGGCTTAATTTTTATCAGCTGCTCAATATATGCTTGGCGATGACATTTATGTAACTCAAGCAGCTTACTAGTAAATTGAGGACTGGTAGTCATACAAGTATGTGGCAGATTTCTATGCGTTAAAAGGTTGAAGCTGAAGCGGGGACCGTTGGTAAGTCTATTATTAGTCGTAGGGAGATTTCTTCATGAAGTCAGACTTCAACAGCAGCACTCTGTTTGATCCATATACACTACCTTTGTTGATACACTATTTTGTGAACAAATGAACCCAGGTAGTATTTTAATATTTCAAAACTGTCCGTTTTCTAAAATGTATAATGCAACCTCTTTGCCCAAAATTGGCTAGCAATGGCATTCCTTTGCATTCTTCAGAAAATGAACCTAGATACCATTATATATATATTTGTGGTGGGTGTGTGTGGGGGGGGGTGAATACGACAAAGTTGGATGCAAATCTTACCTTCCTGAGATGGCTGTATCGATGTTTGCTTTCTGCACAGATATATGACTCAGTCCTCCTTCAAGAATCTTCCAATACTCACGCTGCGTCAAAAGGAAGAAAACCTTAAAGTGTCAGGCAGACCATTCTAACAGACTACCCTGGTCCACTCTTAAACCAAAGCAGAATGGATATCCTAGACGCCATCACAGACTGATCCATGCCAATTGTTTATGCATTCTTGACAGGACGCCCCTCCCAAATCTTAAATAATCTTTCTATGCACTTCAATTTTTGGGGGGTTTCAAGTCCTATGTACTAAAATGATTAGGCATGCATTCGCTCCCTTAATCCAGCAAAATCTTTCATATACTCCTGGTAGATTTGAAGTCTTAAGTTCTGTCGACACTAACGAGAAACATAAAAAATACCCTCTAAAGAAGACTGTCCTATCCAAACTGACTTTAATATCTGCAGTTTTTAAATCAATCGCTTAATTCAATATGATGTACACGACTCCCTCCTGTTTCTCAAAACAAGCCCACCCACCCCAAGTAACAACAGGTGTATGCCATCTATACAATGCGCTCACCTCCACTTCGGCTGGGCTTGGGTCATTCTTGAATTGCATCGTCTGGAAGTTGTTGGCCATCTTGCAGAACTGGGTGAGATTCAGAGAGCGCCCCCTACCCAGGATGCTGCTGTGGCTGTCATCTTCATGTGAGTCTTTGGTACTGCGCTTGCCTGCAATGCAAGGTGTCAAGGTCTCACTGCTAAAGCTCCTCTCAGTACTAACCTGACTTTTGGCAATGGTGCAACTGGTTATCTTGAAATAGCCACCAAAAGTAACAAGTAACTATTCGTTTCTTGTGTCCACTTTGTAACAGTGGAAGTAAGGACATGCCTCATGATATGCCAAATGTCGTCAACAATTGACTTGGATGAAATGTAAGAGGCTTAAACCGTCAGAGAATGATAAGGAGAATGCCAATGTGAGAAAGACGACTGATTAAAATGGCATAAGACAAGGTTAAACAGGAGAGCGAACCCATTTTAGCATACCGTCAGATATGTCTTAGGCTGAGTAGGACCTTATGTCCAATCTTATATAAAATAGCTGTCAAAATAACAACTACCTCAGAGCTTTGCAGAACATTGACTCCGCAGAGGTCAAACCGTAAAGAAATGATGAGCATAATGGCAAAAACTATGAGACAATTTCAGGAATTTAAAGTTTAATCCATCAAAGCTGGAGCATCTTTGAATGAGACAAACCATATTGATAATGGCGATGAACCAGATCCAAATGACAATGCAACATCCACTGGTGATGATAATGGTCGGCTTTGTGGGCTACTAAGGTCAAAGGTTATGATCCAACTCCACAAACTTGAAGGCAACCTACCCTCATCAGGGAACGAATACCAACCACTCACCTAATTGCCGCCTTCTCTCAGTCTCCACCTCAGCACACAATTTCTCCTTCTCTTCCTAGCCAAACAAAAGAGGCATGTTATGAGGTTATTAACCCTTCAATCTCTTCTCTACAGTTGTGGTGTATTTTCAATGACTGATTTCTTTTGTACAACCTGTGAGTGGCGTCTACAACATACCTTGGTCAGGGTGTCATACGACAGCAGATACTTGCAATAAATACTGTCCAGCTTGCCGATTCTTCCCTGGATCTGCAAAAAGGGACATTTCAAATCAAATCCTGAGATTGACTTGCACTGCAGATTTCCTCATCGTCACAGTGTGACCAAATTTGCATACTTTCCCATAAACAACTAACGGGGTACAATTAGTGAAGTTTTAAACAGGCCGGTTTAAATGTAATAAAAAGAGAACAAGCCCCTCTTCTAAATGCAAAGTGAATTCAAATTGAACTGAGAAACAGGCACGAAAATTGGAGAGCATAGATCCATGTCACAACTATCCCAACCTAGCCTCCTGTCCAGCCGTTTTTGTCAGACTCACCATCTTTGGAATCTTAAGCAAGTCTGCCACTTTGTTCCATCTCTTCTTATTGGTCAGTGTCTTGCGTCCTCCTTGCTGGGTCACTATCTTGGAGAACCGCACCAAGTCCAGCTCGCACCCACCAATCTTGGACAAAGACACACCATTCAACCCTAACTGGTTATCCCCATGATTCTATCATTCTGACAGTACGGTAACTGCACGAGTCAGGTGTTTGAACATGGTCGAACACAAAATGCTTCGACCTCACGGGGAGGCCATCTTGCTTTTCGATTATTCAAAGCAAAGTAACCAAATTTAGGCTGGAATGAAAAATAGTTTGTTCCCTTTTATCAATATGTGAAGTTGTATTACCACTGCCAGTGGGTCTACAGGGAACAAGACAAACATGGCAGCATCATGATAAAGGTCCATAAGGATCATTACAGATGATGGCTTTCATTTTCAGGTTCCAGAAGTGAAGGTCTCTTGAGGGAAAATAGGGAAGCTTTATACACTACAAAAATAAAGACATTTATTGATCATGCAGCTTCAAATACAATTAAAATGTCCTTGTGGAACATTTAAGTCAAATATTGGACTAATGCACTTCCCCCCCCCCTGTTAACTTTGTCAAACATTTGTCAGGTAGCACTACACACTACTGACTCCAGATCTCCAATTCCTCACTCTTAAATCAAGGCTGTAAATGTCACAGAAAATCAGGCTTTGTGGGACAAGTGATAAAATGACACCAGTAAATTTATCTGACGCTGTCTTTCCGCCAACAGAGAGGATAGAGCATATATCAACACCGCCTTGATGTCACTGATTACTTCTAAGTAAAAGTATGACTAGTCCATGGTGTGTAGTTGTGGAAACTTGATTACAAGCCCTTTCAGGCTGTTTTTCTTTCAACTCAAGGTATCCAGATGGACGCTGTGCTGATATCGCCCCGCAAAACTTCGTGTATCTTCCGAAGTCAGACATTCAGATAGAGTCATAAAGTGTAGTCACATCACTCAAATGTTTAGCAATAATCTGGGTTAGTTAAATAATTCACACTATACACTTTCCAACTTCTGTTGCATTTTTTTGTTAATTTCTGCCCTAAATTTTGCTATTCGGTGAAATTATAATTAACCTTAGCCTACATGTACATGTGGTTACAGAGGGAAATTACTCACACAGATAAGTTTTGAAAGCGCATGAACGGGACACAAGGAAATTTGGGAATAAAAACAAGACTGTGAGAAGGATTTTGACAGGGAAAAGGAATAGGAACAGGAAGACACTTGCAAAGAGGGAATGGAGAGATAGCAAACTGAGAATCCAAATTCCAGATACGTAATACGGGGCAATTCAGAGTACAGTTGATTCACAATACAGAGCTCCACTACAAGGTTGCCACAGAAACGGCATTTTTCACTTTACATTGTGGAAAGGTATTGACAAATTCTATTCACTGGCTACCCAGGGGAACTTGAATTATTCCCAATGTTGGTTTGTCAGGGAAGAATATTTCTAAGTGTATTTCGCACAGGAATTTTGATTACATCTTTTCTTCTTTCTGTTGGATGGAATTTCCAGATTAACAGTCCTGAATCCTCCAATTTTACTATGATTTTGCACACACCCTAGGGAGTTAGTAATCCATCAAACATTTCCCCAAGTTCTCTACTGACATCCACTCAAATGCAAACTGCAACAAGGCGGCTATGCTGTTGATCACCGTAAACTCAAAAACTGCTTCTCCATGGCAACCTTGTGGTGGCGCACTGTATTGTGAATCGCCCCTATCATTCTTTGTCACCTTTACTCCTGATATTTTGTAGTATGTATTTTTTTACTGCTGTGATTTTTGTGAGATTTCAAAAATAACTCTGAAGGCAGACTTTAAATATGCACAGCTGAAATAGAAAAGCATACTCATACCTGGAAAGTCTGTCACAAATGAATCCTGAATCTGAAAATCCCATACACATTGATATCTCATCATGAGTGATTTCTTCATTACCTGCGGTGGGTTGGTGATGTCATTTTCCTGAGCAGCCAAATGCTTCTTGATACATGCAAGTTGCTGTACGTTACTTCCCCACCTGTATCAATTAAAAAAAGAGAGCGCAATGAAATACTGCAACATTAAAGGTAAGAACAGTTCTTCAGTGATTTAATTAATTTAGGAAAGGAGTTTCAAAACAGCTTAAAATAACCAAATTCCCAGGAACATACTAATTTTTTTTAATTGGGGAAAAAACAGAAAGTTAATTTATATTACTGACTGACTGGAGTGACCTGAAATGTGCAAAACGGGAAGAACCTGAGAGCTTCATGTTTTGGACAACATTCCCTTCTTACAATGTGATCCTGTTAGGATTGCATGGACAATTTGAGCGAGCAAACAAAGCAAGCAAAAATGAGCAGGGAACCAGTCTCAGGTAACACACTTTGCATGGCACTTTGACTGGTAACCTATTTCTGCTGAACATATATAATTTGTGCTCAACAGTTGAGAAACTAGCCCCAGCTCTGGCAACTTTTCAGCTTTTTCAAATTCAAATAAAAGGCAGTTTGTATGAAACACATGTAAATACTTTTTACCACAAAGTAAAAAAGATTCTGTTGAACACACAGAGATTTTTGTTGTTGTGATGTAAAGGAACTCCTTCAATACACTGCCATACTTCAATATAAACATACCCTGTCAAACAGTAGTTCCAAGTCAAAAAAAAAAAATCTGACACCCCGTATTCATGAAACCAGGAAAAAACAAACATATCACATGAATAAACAAAGACTTCCCTACAAACAATCCCACACTAAGCAAGAAATTTCACTGCTCCGAAAAAATCAATTCCCAGATACATGTATTCTGCAATTTTGGACAGATTCTTTCTGAAAACTGAAGATGAAATTATTTGGTTAATTACTTGGAATATCATTGCATCAATTTCTGGAATTTAATCAATATATTCAAGGAAGAGATGTACTTTTTTCTCAGAATGTTCCCATTTGTAACTCAAAGTACTGATATAGGCCACAGACGGACCTATGGGATCACAGAGTATAGAATTTCTCCCCAGAACGCAAAGCGTTCAGACAACATGACCTTTCAATCTACGCAAGTTGAAACATGACATCCTTGGGATATTAATTTGTAATCAGACACCCAACAGCATACCTGTGGTGGAGACGGTGAATGCGTTGGATCTGGGGTGACAATCTCATGTCATCCTTTAGTTTACATTCCGGCTGAAGAAAGAACAGGCAGAAAAAACAAATCTAATCATTAATCAAAGCTTTGCAATCTCTTTTTATTTTTATTTTTTAAAATGACATTATTTTAAGTTTTTTTTTGGGGGGGGTAGGGATTGAGGAAATATATGGGATTGGAACGGGGGGTTTCCCAGGAATGTTATCAATATCATTTCCCTTTTGCTTTTGCCCATGTTTCCTTCCTAGTTTGTCTGTAGATCTGATTGACAGTGATACATGTACTTGACCAAATTACAACAACAAACAAATAAAGAAACACACACAATTAAAAACTGTAAGGACCATCTGACAAGAAGGAAACATGATGAACAGTTGTTTCAAATGCTCATTAAATCCTACCAGTTACTTCTCATGTTTAACTTGATACCCTGTTTGGCATTTGGATGGGTTTCTATTTTCATTTTTATATTTCCATAGTCATTACAAACACCAATTACTGCAACTTGGTTTAACAAAGAGAGCCTGCCATTTCAAGTTGCTTATTTAAAAACTTTTCCACAATTGTTCTCACAAATGGCACTCAACCATCACACTGTGTGTTAACGAAGTCTAATTCAGCATTTTTTTCCATGAGTACTACAAAGCCAAACTATAAACATGTACTTGTAGATGAACCCGCCCACCTGCCACCAACACAAAGCCCAGTATTCAGTGGCAGCCAAACAATGAAGTAAATGTCACCAACTACGCTGTCAATAGTAAATCATTGTGCACAGAGCCCCGAGACTGTTGCTCCCAAGAGGACTGTACCTGCCAGCCAAAGACTTTAAACCTCCCCCCCCCCTCTTTTTTCCTGGCTGATGTGTCATACAGTGGGAGGGAAGTCGATGTGAATACACCAGGATTGGGGCAGCTGGTGTAGGCACAACTCCCCGGGGGGGAGGTCTGCTTGGGATATAAATAGCCAAGTGGTTGCTGTCTGCCAAGTTTTACTCCCATCCATTCATTCATTCATTCATTCATTCATCCCTTCATTCACAGATTTTCTTTTTTTCATGAATGAAAGCTGAAGCTTGCGTGGGCACATGCAACTCTGGGAGAATACTAGGAAATTTCCCAAGTTCAATTTACCCGTCTTCTTGAAATCTGCTCATTGCCTGTAATTGGATTCAATGCAGGTGTAAGTGCCATACACGTAACGGCTGTTTCACTTTATGTGGTGAATCTATGAATTTTGACATTTAGATCTGGAAGCATGGGTAGTCTTGGAGGATGGACACAGAGATTTATTTTTCACCTACATTTTACTTAAAGCTCTTGTTCCATCAGCCTAAGAATTTTCACACATATCTACTGGATTACAAGAACAGACCTTGGAAAAGCTGTTCCTAGGAGTGACTTTCTCAAGAAACATCATATATAAAGACTGGCAAAAATACAAATAAGGTATTATGATTAAGAGGGTAGTTGCAGAGGTGCCAGAAGAAGTGCCTTATGTCGTATCGGGGGTATGTTTTTTCATAATGGGAAGTCAGTCATGCAGAAAAAAGATTAAGAGGTACAACAGAGGAATTTAGGTCCTTTCAATTTGCCATGAAATGAGCCACAACTGCCCTTTTTATTTCGAAAATGGAAAACCAAATCAGAGCTATGAAACTTGTCCTGCTGTCCAATATCTAACAGACCTTTATTGTGATGCTGCCATTTTGTCTTCCCCCTTCACACCAAATGACAAAAGTAACACAACACTATATATTGATAAAAGGGACCAGACTATTTTTTCTTCCAGCCTCAGTTTGGTTACAATGCTTTCAATGATGGTAGAAAAACAAAATGGCTGCCCCACGATAAAACTTTGTGGTGTGACAGGAGTCAATGTTCAAATATACGGAGTGTGAGATTGACTTACCATCCATCCTTGTGGAGGCACAACCTTACACATCCCACTTGGAGCCACCTGGGCTGATATAGAAGAAATGTAAGCAATAGGGTCCCTCCATTCCTCCTGGCTTGGGAAGAACACTGGTGCATTGTGGGTAACAGCTTTAGTACTGATTGCAGGGCCTGAGACGGGGGTACAGGAGAGCATCTTGCGGAGTCCTGTGGATCGGCTACGGAACGTGGAGGACGAGGTAGATTTGATCAATTGCTGCTGTTGACTCGCCGGCCGCAGTTTGTTTTTAGAGCCAGGTGGACGTCCCCTGCCTCTTTTGACTAGGGGGACCTGGTGGTTGTTCCCGACAGATGTTGGATTTGGTTTGGCGGTTCTAGTGGAAGGAGGACAGGGTGATTCCAAGGGGAGCAACTCTAAAGTGTTGTTGTTGATGATGTGATTGTTGATGTGTTTGTGCTTAGCATGCAGCGACATTGAATTGACTGTCGTGCGCATGTGGTTTCGAAGTTTCTTTTGCAAGCACTGTTTGCTGTTTCGTAAGAGCTTCAGGGAGGATTTCTCAGTGAGCTCTTGGAGCTTGCGTCGCTTGAAATCTACCACATTGTTCTCAGCACAGATGCCATCCAGCTCCACTCGCTTCCGTTTATTCCTCAGAGTGGGTGGTTCAAATGTGGTGGCCAGCGGGGCAGTGCAATTCTCAGCCCGCTTTGCTACTTTCTTCCGGTCCGGAAACATGCTGGAGTTGGCTCTGTGCGACTTCTTGAGCTTTGCATAATTATTGTTCAGGGTGAGTGCCGCCTTGGACTTGAGCTGCGCCAGATCTACGCACTTGCGACTCTTTCTGTTCCTGAGACTGGGCGTGATGAGGGAGCTGTTCCCATCCTGTACTACTTTGTTGGAGGTAGGTAGTGGTAATGTTTGGTCCGGTATATCTGCCTGGACGCTCGCTGGGGCACATGGCACGCCTTGCCCGGCTGGTTTCTGTCTGCTGCTCTTGGAGTGTTTGGATTTGCAGCTGTCAGTGTCGCTGACTGGCTCAATAGGGGTCAGGGGAGGGGGATGCCGGCACCTGGGTATAGCCGCAATGGGAGGGGGGATGGGTGACAAACATGGAGGTGACTGTTGATTGCCGTTAATGTCTGTTGGGGGTGGAATGGATGACTGTGTTGAAGAGGCCACATTCTTCCTTCTCCGTATTGCCTGAAAATTGCAGGAACAAACCAAAACATCAAGTACTAATTTGGGGAAATTATTCAAAGATTGAAATTCAGGAATACTGAAGGCTTTGTGGGGCTAGCAACAAGTACATGTAGCAACTTGAAACTAAAGCTAAGATTTGTGAAATGTGACAACTTGCTCATACCTTCTTTGTAGATTCAAAGCGAGTCACTGCCAGGTTGGGATAGTCAGCTATTCCTATTGGTAACGGTTCAATCCCTGGTATGTGAAAGTTATTCTCCACAAATTTGTGATTCTTCTCGACAGTCCTGGACTCGTCTGTACTGCTAGTGTCATGACTGGATGCCTTCTGGGCTTCGTGTTTCTTGGCCACTTCAAAGAAATCCAGATGAGGAGGTAGAGCAGGGGTGCCTGAACAAGAACATGAGGAGACTCTCATAAGCACTTGTTAGCATCAAACAACCAAGTCAATGACAGGTGCTTGAAAGAGAAGAAAAGGTGGAGAGGGGGAAACTACATAGTGGACTGGAGTAAAGTCTAGCATTCCTTCATGAAATGAAAGGGTCTCCTTTTCTGTCATTCTTCAGATTTCTGCCATTATAGTCACGCTTCGAAATTCCATATAGAAACCTTTACGGAATCCTTAGTAAGGGGATGTGTGAATTAACATAATCTCAATTCCTCACTAGTTTATATATTTTCCTTAGCGGAGGTTCTTTGCTAACAACAAATTAGGAAACAAACTCGATCCGAGCTGGTAACACCATCCGAGCTGGTACCCACTGATCTTGACAACATTACTATCATAACTTCACCCTCTTACTGAGTGTCATGAATGGCATCATACATGTATCTGAATTTTATTCCACTTACGAACGAGAAGCTTTCTTCTCAAATATGTAACTGATATCTTATCTACCGGTATAACGGCGGCTACAGCCATTCAAATCAGACTTCAGCTAAAAGAAATGAGAATTTGGCCAACCTTACGGCCTCATCACTTTTTGCTAGTGATACAAGCTTCATCACATAAAAGCAAAAATGTTGCCGAGATCGCATTTATCTGTAAACACCTAGATACGTGCAATTTCTCATCCTGTCCGCTATGCATCCTGCGAGGCGACAGGTAATTTTTTTTTTAATCTCCCATTCTTGATGAAATGCCTGTCCTGCTGCCTAGTTGCATCATCCACATTGTTGCCAAGAGAATGCAATCTCTAGATTAACATTTGTTCAGAAAACACCAAACTGAGAGAGGACTGTACATCAGGTTGACTGCGTCAAAAAAGTACAGTTCGTTTCTCGTTTACCGTAACCACTTGAACAGTTAGCTCAATGATGTCATCGCCATTGAGCTAAATGAAACCGATTTCAGCTTCTAGTTTAAAATACTGAAAAAAATTGAGCATACACCTATAACGACATTGTAAATTTTGTAATTCACAATTATTTGAAGTACATGTATTTGAGAAATTCCAGAATATGTTTCAGTTTGTATCATTTTCTGGGAGACACGGGGAGGGGGACACGGGGAGGTACAATATAGGTGAACTTTGAGATTTTTGCCTGAAATGCGAATTACAGGAATAATTTACAAACATGGTATAAATCACTCACACCTGTATCTCTGAAAATTGAAAAAAGCCTTAAATCAGGTTTCTGCGGAATTAAAAAACTGTTATTTACAAACAAGGAAAGTAGGAACATAAGGCTATATGTATGAATTAATTTTTTTCATAACTTATTCTAAATAGCCTTTAATAAAAACATAAAAGAGAAAGGCACTATTTGGTTTGAGTAAATAATAAAGAATTATGGGTGCCAAGATGTTGACTGAAACTATAAAGTAATACCTCTCACTATGTGAGGGGGAAAGAGGTTGATATAATCCTTCCCAGTGTTATGTTAAGAAGTCAATTCCCCAGCCATTGGGATGGAGGTGTTGCTTTACCTCGGAGACACAGGAATGTCAAGAAGTCTTCAGTCTGAGGGCAAAAGTTGAACAGCATTCCTTTGTTACTGCTACTGCTGCTGCCACTGGCGTTGCTGTTACCACTGATTCCACCGGTCAGCCCCGTCTTGGCCGGAGTGGTACTCGGACTGCACGGTAGGGACTCGGCAAACTTCCGCTGAGCACGCAGGCGGGCTCTGGGAGAAGGGAAGCAGAGGAGGAATTGCACTGACAATGATCTGATGCATGCTTCAGTTACACAATTGCCTAATTGAAAGGTACATGTACGTGCACACTCTGATAAAGAGTGGCGTGGAAAATTGGAAAGGATACATGTAGTTGCTCAGCTGTGTCATTTTTGCCAAGTATCACTCCAGTGATGGGTGTTTGAAAAAGGCTCCTTATATGTAAACAAAGAACTAAGCTTAACCACAGCATTTTGTTGCTACTCATACATGTATACGACTAATTTCATGCAGATTGCCAAGTGCAAGAAGCTATTCATGCTTCCAGAATTGGCCATAACTTTACATGTACATACACATTACATATGTACATGCGCATGTATGCTTGAAAGGATTCATCACTTTTGGTTGGCTTGTTTTCTTGGTGAAGGAGGGAGAAGGATAGGTTGAGATTCTGGCTAACTTAAGCGATTCATAGAATTTTCCTTCAGGATGAATTTTTAACCCCACTTTTGTTTGAACCATTCCCAGGTCTCAAGAACTGTGACACAGCACAGAGACACATTCTTTGGACTTGGAGCAAAATTACAAGAAGCCTCATGCATACCAACAATGGTTAGGATGCATATTCCTACACTCTACATGTACATCTGTCAAATACGGCCATGCAAAGTGATTGGATAGAGTGAATTGGGCCGGTTGAGGTAAATGAGTAACGAGCTAAGGCAAATGGGCCCTGGGCTGTTTCGATTACAAGGCATCTATGGACAGTGGTACGGTAACGACAGATATTGCCGTCATTAATAACCAGCAAGGACATCTCCAGGCTTCTTGTCCTATCAACATCATCTTAATTAAATTGAAGAAGACAAAAAAATGTAATTATTGCTCCGCATTCAGTTTGTTTTTCAGAAAGCAACAACACAGAAAAAGGAAATGTATTGTTTGTCCAATTGAAGTTACGTCGTAACTGTATTTTTTTCATAAATAGGTAATCATTGGTAGGTGTGAGATATAGATAATTACTTGATAGCACACATCCTGTTAACACAAATGGGTAACTTAATGCAACAATTTCCATGTTTGAAAGAACAAAGAGAATCTCTGTAATATATACAATGTACTATCAAATGCTACATGCTAACTTTCTTTTCAGTTTTGATATTGTTGGAACAACACGGTCCATGCAGGATCTATCTACTGCTTATCATTAAAACAAGTGAAAAATATGCCCTTTTTCATGTATATATAACCTGGCTAAACATGCCAGGAGAGTTGGAACTGTTTCTTGAAAGCACCCATTTTTCAAACTCCCGATTTTAAAATAAAGATTGCAAAATCGTTCGCAACTTATTGGACAATAAGAGATGTTTTCTATCTGGAGATTGGTTGGATGTCAATGAATTGGAGTTTACATCCTTAAACCCTGTCCGCTGAATGACAGAACTGGGCACCTCTGTTTATTATGACAAACTAGCTGTTGGAAAGGCGACAATGAAGGTATCGTATAACCAGGACGCTGGGTAACCAGGACGCTGGGTAACCAGGATGGTGGGCAGTGAGTGGGAGGACAAGAGAAATTGCACCTACGGATGTTACATTATTCAGGAAAAATCCAGGAATTACTCGCCCACAGACAGCTACATGTACATGATTACCTGAGAGCTTTGAATCTATAGGCAAAGCTGACATACCCGGAATTAATCCTCCCCCCCGGATCAATAACGTCTCCATCAATTCTACGTACATGGCAGTTTCAAACTGTGTCGTTAGTTTCAAGGAAAATGTCAGCAATGAAAGTGAAATGTCAGGAAAACATACTTGTTTTTGGTTATTCCTGATAAAAGCAAACAAGTGTGTAATACAACAGGTTACTTCTCTGCACATAAATGTACAGTATTTCAAGAAACTCTGTAACACACTGTAGGTCTTGTTTTGAAGTTCAGTTTTTTACATTAATATTGGTAACACAAAACGTATTATCCATACAATGTAATGTTATCGGAATGCACAGCATAACATAGCCAGAGAGTAGCATACATGTACATGTACATTGGACGCTGAGGAAATGTTGAGCTCACTTTCTCAGAGTTTCACCCAGGAAACAAATATAAGAGGCAGAAACCTGAATTTTGCCAGAACTTACCCATATCACTTCAGACTTTGTTGCAATTTCCACTTCCCAAGATACTGTATATTCAAGGTATGTCAGAGCTTTTTGTGCACATTTATCATTGTAGAATAGTTTTTTGCATCACCAGGATTGTTAATTGGTGGATAATTCAACATTCCTCTTGCTCTCATCAGTCAATGCATTTTTCTCTTGTCACAAACATGATCCGGTATTTTAAGAGGGTGGGGACAGGGGGGAGTGGTTAAGCCTACGTTGAGGGGGGGGGTTAATGAAGGGCCCTCATAGCAAAGAGTAACCCAACTCTTTATATCCATCAATATTTGGCAAAACATTAATACATGTACCAGTACAGAAAACTTTGATGAATTTCAGGTAAATGGCACAGATCGACCCCCAGAAACAATAAAGATAGCAACCTACTTTTTTGGTTTGGAGCATCCCAATTCAGCGTCCTTTACTGCAGACAGCTTCAGATTAGCCATGTCTTCGGTGCATCTCTTCTCTCGTTTGGATCTGAGTCCTTTCCTGACGTCCTCCCGGGGAGTTGCTTCTGTACCCTGTATAACCTTATTGGACACCTTGCTCTGTCTGCATTTGGTGGATTGCCGCTGCCGTTGCTGCCGATGCTGCCGATGCTGCCGTTGCTGCTGCTGAGGCAGTTCTTTCTGCCGCTGTGGTGGCGGCGGCTGTTTTTCACACACATTTGGTTTGCTGTCCCGCTGCCTGCAAGCAGTGGTGGAATCTTGGTGCTTCCGTAAGCACATGGTAGTGGTTTCTGGCGGTAGTGGTTTCTGGCATGGTAGTGGTTTCTGGCATGGTAGTGGTTTCTGTGGGATGGAGGTGTCCCTCTCTGACTCTTGTTTTTGTAGCTCTTGCTGTTGTATGCAAGCCTCCACGCCAGCATCACAGGAACACATGGAGCTGCTGTTGCTGCAGTCCATGCTGGTGGAAACAGACACGGGTTCGATGGAAGACTCGTCGCAGTCACCATCTTCCTCACTGCTGTACTCTCCGTCTCGCTTTGGCTTGTTCTCCTGGATGGAGGCATAGAGAGCTCTGCACAGGTCCCGCTCCTCTTGCCACAACATCCCTTCATTATACTCCTAGAGTGAACACAACAAGAGATTGAAAAACCAGATTGGCCAAGAAAGGTGCTATTCACATAAGAGTGCAAGGTGACTTGCAGGTTGCATGGTGGACACAAACAAAGTAAGAAAGGTTTGCAGTAACACCAGGGTAGCTTCATGAAATCTTGTTTGTGAGGTAAAACAAACAGGCTCTTCTGAGCACCAAACAACTCACAAAAGAAAGTAGTTTCTTTGGTTTTAAAACTAACCTTTTGTACTTTACACAGGTAGGTTATTATCCTCATTCACACATCAAATACACGTATTTATGCAGGCACACAATAAAATTACCAAATTTAGGCGAGTTTGATTGTTGTTATTATAGCGTACGATGTACATTGGTAATAAAACACAAATTGTTCAATATTTCTGTTCAGCAGCACTGCAATTGGCACTGCAGAGCAAACCCATGCATTGATTGACGGTGGAGATATACATGTATTTCAGTCTAGGGGGGGTTCAGGACGCATCGCCAGTAATCCAAGGAATAAACCGCATGGATCAAGTTGGGTCTGGAAACCTTATCCAAATGTCAGCCTGCGTGAAGTTGGCCCCTTGACACCAGTGTAAAGGCAGATCACTTACCCAAACAGTTTCTATGGAATCTGCAAGAAACACTCTGGTAACTTCCTCCCCACTTTGTGAATGAGCAAGAGATGGTGTGTTTCACACAGAAAAGTGTCATTTTGGTAAGGACATGTACATGTAGCACATATACACAGTCATATATTTGTTACCTGGTTGTGGGGAATATGTTGGAATATAGACGTTGTGGGGACCAAGACGTCACGAGACAATTTTTTTCCCACATTTCAGTCACTACTTTCAAAACAAAAGAAACAGTGCCCTCAATGCAAGGAATGGCTACCCATCAGTACTTGGGCAGGCACATGGTTGAGTTGAACAAACATGCCCCATGTTGTGTCTCACGAGGCTGCCTAGTTAAAACAGCCTATACCCAGTCCACCTTTCTCCTCTGAGCCAATGAGGGGGTACTTCTACATAGAATGGATCGGTTGGACTCCTTGGAAACCTGCAGCACACATGTACCGTACTGTACATGTAGAAGGATAGATGACAGACCAATAAGCACCCTCTTCAATCTTCTGGGAACCTGACTTTCTTTTAAATCCTACCGATATGACGACTCTGCCATCACTATCTCCCTACTTCAACATATGACACATTTAGAGCAATCTTGTTACGGTACATTGTTTCAGTAACCTACATGTATGTTGACTCCAAATCTCTTGTACATACCGGTACATGTACATGCCACTGATGTACATGTATGTGCCACTGATGTACATGTGTGTGCCACTGATGTACATGCATGTGCCACTGATGTACATGTACATGAAGTCCTTTAGTAGCTATCAAGACTGAACTTAATCTTTCCTCATTATGTGAATTCATGCAAAAGTTTTTTTCCATGGGAATATATCACCACGGTAATTCCACCTTCCGACACTTTTTCCCAGGAAGGAAAGTACACCTGACAGTTAATAATGAGAACACTCTATAACCAGCCCAGTAACAGGCACTCTGTCATTCTCAAGTGTTAAGCCAAAGTTCAATAAACAGTGTACATGTTCACTGTAGTGCATATGCAGGAACGGTATGCAACCTGTCCAACATTGTAACAATTGCTGCTCTGATTAACAACAAATATCACAGGTTACATTACATTTGCCGGAACCACACTTAATTAACCCTCAACTCAATATCAATTTGCAGACTGTGGATAGAACTGGAACAGAAGCAGCCATGCAGCCACTCTTATCTGACATGGGAAGACGGTGCTAAATTAATTTGAATTTGTACTGATGTAAGTTTCATCTGTTAGTGGTGTGCTCCACAGAAAGACGTATACTAGCGTGTACATGTATGCACATGTACTAATTGTGCATGAATGTAGGGTTATGAAAATCTAATTGGATAAAGTATCCTAAAAGCTTATCAAACACAGATGGAAAATGAATTAGCACAAGGCAAAGATCAAACAACTTCACAGCGCCTTCTGTAATCTTCATACCAGTCATGTTCAGTAAGTCTTGCTCTTGACATTCCTGCAAACTGCATTATATAAGAAATTCCCCAAACTTGACTAAACCACATGTGCAAGCTAGGCACACTCAAGTTGCTGTCCGTTACCTTCGGGCAAGTACATGTACCAGTCGTGTACAGTTGCACTGGTTCTTGAGGTGACCAGACAGAGAGAGACAAACAGCACAACAAACTGACAGACACTCTCAAACAAAAGTCTCACCACTTTTATCATTTTGCATTTGTCAATTCCTGGCACGTCAGACATCCCCTTCAATATGTCCCACGTTTCCCCCATATCTTCTCTCCTACATAAAGAGCATCTGTCTCTCATTCGCTTATTTATTCTCCACACGAGCTCCTTCTTGAAGTGAGAAAGCCCACCGAGGATGCAGGGCAATTCACAAGAATCTTATCAAATATTTCCCTGTGGTCAACTACACCTCTGGACTCCTAAATTTATACATCACACAACCTGCTGGTGTGGATGTAAGGTGCAGACACACACAAATCTCAGTAACCTGTCACATTTAGCCAATCCAGACACGGTACTCTCTGCAACGATTCAGTTCAGGAAGCCCCATTTAACAAGCCAGGCAAAATATTGAGAGAGATAAAAACCTGACAAACAAGCCAGGTTCAGCTGCTGTTGCCAGGGTGCAGATGTTGCCATCTTAACCACTTGTGACACTAACTTCCTATTTCTAATCGCCTTCACCGCAGTTCAACCTCGGAGTGTAAAATGAAAGCCTTCGTCAAGGAAATTGGATAGTCTCCTTTAGGACTACATAAACTACCAATTAAGCAATGGTCAACTAATCAACATGTCTGCAGCGCTCAATTTGACATTCTCAAAAGAAAAAAAATTGTGGTTATGTGGTTTTGCTGTTGTAACTCTATGGAATGGAAATGGATCTGATCAGGGTTTGTGATGAGCTTGTGATAAAATAAATCTGTGGTAAGATTTAAGTGCAACTGATTACAACCAAGCAATAGAGATTTCATAATATTATGATGCACGGACATCACCAGGATTTTTCAGGGGAGGGGCGGGGAAAGGGACAAGGTACTTTTTTTGTGGGGGGGAGGGAGAGGGGAATCCGGGGGAGGAGCAAAGCACTTGTTAGCAACAAACTACACCTGCAATAAACCATTCACAGTGGAAGGGGGGGCTTAATTGTGCAGGTTTCTTGAGCACATGGGGTGATTTTCATCACCTTTCACCTCTGTCATTTCTTTGGCTTTTTCCTCCTTTTCTCCCTTTTTTCTTTTCCATTTTTTTGTTGAGGGGGAGGGGGCTTACCCCACCTCTTGCAACCCATGAAAATGTGGAGCAAATACCAAAGCAGCCAAGGCAGGGGTTGCTGAATAATGAAACATCATCCTGAGAAAGTTCAAACTTGCAAGGTTTAATCAAGACTTCACACACTTTACTCTTATAAACTCAACCTGTAGTTCATACATGCACCTCCCAGTGGACTATCACTCCGGAAGCATGCCCTGATCTACTGCCTCCTCCTTCTCATCCCCAGTACCACCATTACTGAGAAGTCTTGGCTGTCTTGCCATCAAATAACATTCCTGATTAAATTCTTCCTCCAGGCATCTCTGTTTCTCTTCCCGTTACCTCCTCGCTTGCTTCCTCTGACCTGCATCTTTCCGGGTTGTTCTGATTTCCACGTCTTCACTTTTCTTTCCAATTCTCTGACAGCTTTTGCTCCCACTGGCATCCAAATTCCCCCCATCCTTTCCCTTCAATCCCACGATTCCTGCCTCGCTTCCTGTGGCTCCTTAATGTTCACACCTTTCAATAAATTCAATTTACAAAGTCCCTCCGATCCATTCAAATGCCCAAGCTATTGTAACACACATAGCTACATGTAGATAACAACAGAACACCGGCTTTATGTATTTACATTTAAGGTTATTTCAACTGCTTCTTTTGTTTTTTCTTTAACTGTAACAGAATGAACAATTCCCCCTCCAAAAAAGTAAAAAAGCAAAAACCTACATTAATTCTTGATTGCACATGATATGAATGCATATTTTATCTTAAACATTTCAAAAAGCACAGTCATGAAAAATTCCAAGACAGAAAAAAATCTGTGATTTGGAAAAGAACATCTGTTGAACTGAGATTTATATCTTGCACATGGCATGTGACCGTTGTAAACTCATGGAATAAAATCTCATGGCCAAGAAGTGCACATGTGAAAGAAAACGGCCGACTTTTCCAGAATGCGACGAGACTGGTCTGATTTGAAACTTCTTACATGCACTTTACAAGGGGGACCACTGACTAACTCTTCATCTGTTCATCCCCCGGAAACCCAGACAAATTGGCTTTCCCTGAAGTTCAGGGCAAGTTGAGTCTACAGGAGAAATGGAAGACAACTGTGCCGGGTGAGAGACCCAAAGCAAATATTATTTACAGCATACTGTTTGCCCCTCAGCAGATGTGGAGAAAAGTCTCACTTGCACCGATGACAAGAACACATAGTGTCATCCATAAGAAGCGTTGTCCATATTACGGGACGTGTACATGCATGTACATGTACACGTAGGTCTGAATCTCAGCAGGTTACATGTATGTGCCATATCCACTCACCATGTTAGATTTCAATCTCCAGCACCATTTCAAATACGAGTTTGACTTTATTAAGGTTGACAGCCAGTCCACATATTAACACATTGGTGCTAGCTCTTTCTGTGCACCCAGTCCCTCCCTCAAGTTCTGGTGCACAGTCCTACTTCTCCCCTCCCGTATTCCCCACGGACCCTGCTTGTAATTCCCTAGGATAAGAGAAAAGGGAAACTGGTCAAAGGAGAGTGGAAAATGACACTGGGGGCAGAGGAATAGGGTGAGCAAGGCACCAGACTCAGGTCACATTTCTTGTCTTCATCCCAAGTCCCTTGGAACTTTCCTCAGC